CTCAGGGATTTGGAAGTTTGGAGAGTTTGGAGAGTTTGGAGGTTGTTCCATCCTTCCATGTTTCCATGTCTAGTCAATGTCTATCCGAGCCTCGGCGATCGACCGATGATCTTTTGGTCATCTGGTCATCTGGCTGGGCAGTCCTGTCCTTGCGCTCAAGCCCGGAGGTGTTGAGGTCCTGAGGTCCTGAGGTCCTGAGCCCTGAGGTCTAAAGGGTCGTTTGGTTTTCTTGGCTCCAGGTGTCCAGGGGGGGCGGCCACTGGAAGGGCCCAGCGGAGGGTGCCCCCGCTCCCGCGGCCCGAGACCCCATCCCCCCCCCCCCATCTCCGAGACTCCGAGACTCCAACGCTCCAACAGTCCAACACCCCAACACTTTGACTTGTTTCGTGTCCTCTTGCCCCGAAGCCACTAGCTCGAGGCACCCGTTTGGCCGCTGTGCCGTCCGGCACTGCCCGCCCTGCCCACCAGCTCGCCCCGCGTCCCTCGGGGTTTTGGGACGCGACATCAGTTTCGGAACCATGCTGGCAGTCATCAGTAAGAACGAGTCTCCTGGATCCGCCGAGCGCGCCGCTCGTGTGAGGAAGCAACAACGGTCTGGGAGCCCTTCTACGACTTCTCGTGCTTCTTCCTCTATGGAACAGGCGGTCGCCATGATGGGTGGCCAAGACGTGGTGGCTCCAGAAACGGCCCGGAAGCTTCTCTTTGGCCCGAAGGGGAACATCGACCAGCGATTTCCTGACCACGAAGGCCATTCGGCCATTTGTCACTGCGGGGGGGCGTGCAAGTGCGCAACGGCGCAATGACAGTGAGGAAGAAAGGGCGCGGAGGACGAGAGGACGAGGATAGATGACGACTTGACGACTTGACGACGATGGGCGCGAGGGCAGGAGGGAAGGAATCGGGGAAGGAAGGGGGGCCCTGTGGGCCCCCTGTGGGCCTGAGGTGGCCTGAGGGCTCTCAGCCTGCGAGCCGACGGCGCCGACGGCCTTGCGGGCCTGATGAAAGGGCATTTTTGGACCCCTGACCCGGACCACGACGTCAAGAATGCTGAGGTGGTGGTGGAGGAGGGGATGAGTGGATGGAGGAGCAGCACAGGATTGGCCGAGAGGGTCGAGATGCTCGAAAGGAATGTGACGAACGATGAAACGATGCGAACGATGAGATCGATGAGGGCCCCAGCCCGCCCCAGGCCAGCAGCGGCACGACATCTGCAAAGCGCCTTACTTACAGGACGAAAAGATCACGGTCAAGCTATGGGGCTCGGACGGCGAGCGCCTCTTGCAGCGCCACGCGCGCGCGAACCAGCGGGCAACTGGCGGGGCTGTCCAAGACTACGCCCAGAGAGTGCTCAAGAACGGGGTGATGACAGAATTCCGGGGCAAGATGATGGGAGTTTCTGCTCGGCCTGGCTCGGACGTCTCAGACATCCTCATGGTTTCGGGCGCCACGCTCTGCGAGGCCGCACTTCCGCGCCTCACCACTTCCCCAACTCCTCACGCCCCCCTCCTCCCCTTCTCCCCGCCTCCCCACCCTCCCCTCCGAGGACTCCCCTCCTCCTCTTCTCCTCTCCTGCTCTCCTCCCTGCTCCTCCCTATCCTCAGACTCCTCGTCGTCTCGTCGTCGTCGCTCTTCCCATCTTCCCCTCTCTCTCTCTCTCTCTCTCTCTCTCTCTCTCTCTCTCTCGCTCTCTCTCTCTCTCTCTCTCTCTCTCTCTCTCCTCTCTCTCTCTCTCTCTCTTTCTATCCTTCTCTTTCTCTCTCACTCTCTCTGTCTTTCTCTCTCCTCTTCCTCTCTTCCTCCCCTCCTATCCCCCTATCCCCCCCCCCCCCCTCCCCCCCCCCCCCCCCCCCCCCCCGCCGAGGGCATCTACTGCGCTGCCGAGTGGGCCGCCAAGCACGACAAGAACAACCGACACATCAAGCATCTCAGGGAGCATGGAATTGAAATCCAGCTTTGGAGGAACGACACTCCAATGGACGTACTTTCCTGGTTGAAGAGTGAAGGCAACAACTGGCATGCTGGGCTTTCTACTACATGGCACGAGATGGTAACCCTGGTCGACGAGATCGAGGGCGCCTGGCAAGTGCACAAGAGAGCTGAGGAGCATACCTGGGGATCCTTGCCCAAGACTGGGCCCGACAGCTTGCCAATGAGGCACGCCGCGTGGGTCATGGAGAACTACGGGAAGACGTTCAAGAACTCGAAGAACTTATACGTCCGCTCGAAGGCGCTGTACAACAACCTGACTCGCGTCGGCGCTTGGGATACTTTCAACGCGCTCGTTTCTGCCAGTGGCAACGGGTGTGACTTCCAGAAGCCCTCGCTAGATGGGCCTACCGTCATCCTGACAATGAACTCCTTGGTGACGCTGATGATGAAGCATTTCTCGTCTTCTCTTGACTCGGACGCCTTCCGGATTGTGCTTCTTGAACTCTTGAAGTTCGCGATCCCATGGGCGAAGCCGTTACCAGATCTCGGTTTGGAGCAGGTTCACGACGACTGGGTGTTCGACTCCACAGCGAGCGTGTCGAAGTTCGAGGCGCTCACATTCAACATGGGCGCATCTGTGCTTTACAAGGAGAAGAAGGAGAAGAGGGTCGCTACCGCAAAGCCGAAAAAAGATGCGCGGGCGAAGAAGGCTGCGAAGTCGGAGAAGGGGAAGAAGTCGAAGCCGCTCATGGACTTGATGCCACAGGAGGTGATGAGCCTCTCCAGGTCTTCGGTTGCTGCGTCGATGCGCGTCGATGACATGGACGAGGCTGATCGCGAGCTCTTCTCCGGTATCGATGCTGGCGACGATTGCGGCGCTGCCCAGGACGCCCAGGACGCCGCCCCCCGCAACAAATACTGGCTTGATGACCTGGCAGGCTGCGTACTTGATCCAGTGCAGGGCCTCCCGAGCGCCTACGTCGAGAAGCGCTACGTGGCGACGCTGATTGGGCATGGCATTAACTTCGCCCTGCGCGGTCGAGTCACTTTGGCCGGGAAGGACTTCGACAGCTGGAAGGCCCTCAGGAAGGAGCTCCGCGCGATGATGATCAGGAAGCACGGGCATGCCTTGCGGGACTACTACGAGGAGCAGGCGTGCGGTGGTGGCCCCATTGCTCCTGCGAGCTCTGAGGACGTGAAGAAGCAGGTGGACTCCCTCATCAAGAGCGCGAACGACGCGGACGACACTGCGGAGGCGGCCGAGGCGCAGAACAACGTTGACGAGACGACCGCGCTGCAGAGCGCCTTCGACGACGCCGCCAAGGACAGCTACTCACTCCACCCCTCCTCCCCTCCTCCGTTACTCCTCCTCCACCTCCCCCTCATGGTCTCATCGTCCTGCCCCTCCTCCTCCTCATCCTCCTCCTCCTCCTCTTCCTCCGTTTCTCCACCTCCTGCTGTTCCTCCTCCTCCTGCTCCTCCTCCTTCCCTCATCCCCATCTTCCTCCTCCTCCTCCTCACTCCTCCTCTCCTCCTCCCTCTTCATCTATCATCCTCTCCTCCTTTCTCATCATCCCCTATGCCTCCTCCCTCTCCGCCTCGCCCTCCTCCTCCTCGCTCTCCACGCTGCTCATCCTGGACTCCTCCTCATCCGTTCCTCCGCCTCTTAGCCTCTCTTCTTTCCCGTCCTCCCGTCCTACTCTCATATCCTCCTCTCATCCTCCTCTCCTCCTCTCCTCCTCCCCCTGTTCCTCTGTTCCTCTGCTCCTCCTTCTCATATTGTCATCTTATCCTCGTCGCCCTCCTACTCCACTGACCCTCCCATCCTCCCCTCCTGCTATTCTCTTCCTGCTAGTCCACCCCCTATCCTAAGGACCTATCCTACCAGTCCGCCCGCCCACTAACCCCCTTCCCCCCTTCCGCTTCCGCCCCCCACCCCCCGGCCGCGAGAGGACGCCGCCTCGGTTGCCGTGGACCGCCTCAAGGTGCTGCTGCAGGACCAGGCGTTCATCAGGCCTGGGCAGCGGGCGGCGGTCATGATGAGGACGTGGGAAGGGATGGGGGAGTCCGAGAGTCTGAGGATGAGAGGGGGGGGGGGACGAGGAGTCGACGAGGAGAGGAGGCTGAACGGGAGGAGCAGGAGGAGGATGAGGCGATGAGGAGGAGAGGAGGACGATGTACGGACCGTACGGAGTCAGGGAGGATAGGAGGATAGGGAACATGGGGGGGAGGTAGTAGCGGCGGGGCGGTTGGCTAGGCGGCTAGGCGGGCACGAGACAAGGATGAGGGTGAGGTGGTGAGATGGTGAGGTGCTCAGAAGAAGCGACCCCTCCCTCCTCCTCTCCTCCTCTCCTCCTCCCCCTCCCCCTCCACAGGCAAATGGTCCCCTTCGTTGCTCAGAACACTGCCGTGGGCATCCCCATCGCCATGTCGCCCGCCTGCCGCGAGCTGATGGCTCGCTTCTCTCAGAAGGCCGTTGCGATCGTCCAGAAGCAGGGGGTCAGCGACGATGATCGAGCGGGGTCCCTTGTCGCGGCCATGTCCAAGGACAGCCGCTCGCTTCCCCTCTTCGCCAGGGAATGAGGAGGGAGAGACATAGAGACATAGAGACAAAGAGACACACACAGAGCTGCAGAGAGACAGAGAGACGAGGATGGCAACGCGACGCTACGACAATGCGAGGTGATGAGGATAAGGATGAGGAGGATGATATGGATAAAGATGATACCTATAAGGATGATGAGGGCATGAGGGCATGGGGGGATGATGGGGATGACGGGGGAGGGAGGGAGGGAGGAAGAGGGGGAGCAGAACATGATGATGATGAGGGGGAGGAGGAGGGAGAATGAGGGAGCGAGGGGCTGAGATGATTGAGTGATTGAGAGATTGAGCATGACAGGGGCAGAAGCTGCAGAAGCGCAGAAACTCTCCCCGCCAGTCTGCCTGAGGATGCGTTCGTGGTCGCCCCCCAGCAGTGGGTGGACTTCGCCCGCGCGGTCCAAACGTGCGTCGGTGAGTCTGCCTAGGAAGCCGTCGTGCGGAAACTCTCTTTCGGCACTTTCCCGTCCAAGGCGCAGCTGTTCAAGTTCCTGGCGTACCGGACCTTGCTGGCGCGCGAAGTGATGGCGCCGTTCCTGACGGGGCCCGAGCGCGCCACAGGCTTCGACTACAGCCCGTCGTTGCTCTTCGTGTACTCTGCGCAGCAAGACGTGGCCGCGCTGTTCGACCCAGCTGACCAGAGCCCCACCGCGCACGCGGCCGCTTGGAAGGCCATGCTGGCCGCCGGGAAGTCCGACGATGGGTCCGCCATTGACCAGGCCGTCCTCAGGACCCAGATGGTCACGCTCATGCGCGACCGCGAGGAGGCGATGGAGGCCAAAGTAAAGGAGGCAGATGCTGCGGTTGCCCGCGATGCAGCTGCCGAGGGGGAGGCCGTGCAGGCGTTGCGGCGCACCAAGCTCGAAGCCATGAAGTCTCTGCCCGAGATTCGGTCGATGTGGGCTGGCACGTGCACAATTCCGCCGATTGAGATTGCCAACCTTGCGATGAAGGTCTCGCCCCACTTGCTCGAGCTGGCCTTCCAGGGCAAGACGCCCGCAGATCTGGTTCCCGACACGGGTAGTGCTTCCATCACGGCAGATCCGTTCACTGTGGGACCCGCTGCGCTGTACGTGGCGAAGAACGACGCCATCCCCGTGACCGAGCTGGTGTTGAATTTCGTCGGCAAGGCCATGATGCCATGATGCTATGATAAGGGAAATGAGGATGAGCGGAGAGGAGCGGAGGTTGCGAGGACGACGAGGAGAGGCGGAGAGAGGAGGAGGATGAGAGGATGGGGGGGATGGCGAGGGTGATCAGGAGAGGTGGATGAGTCGAGAGGACAGGAGGACAGGAGGTCGATGCGGGGAAACAGGAGAAGGGGAAGGAGAAGGCGGGGCAGGAAGACATGAGGAATCAGTGAGGAGTCAGAAGGACGGACGGAATAGGGGAAGGGTGATAGGGTGATAGGACGAGCGGACGATGAGACGAGGAGAGGAGGATAATAGGGGCGGAGAGGCGGCCGAGGAGAGGAGGGGGATAGGAAGAGGGAGGAGAGGAGGAGGAGCAGCAGGTCGGAGCAGGAGGAGGAGTGGATGAGGAGAAGGAGGAGAGGAGGAGAGGAGAGAGGCGGAGGAGGAGGAGGAGGAGGATGAGAGGATGACAGGGTGTTCCTGTGTTCCTGAGGTCAGCCGCATCGGGTGCATCGGGGCTTTACCTCTCGCCAAGCTCGAGGGTGACGTCGAGCTCTTCGTGCTTCCGCAGACAAGCGGTTTCGCCACCCACGACTTCGTGCCGGCGTGGGCAGTCCAGGAGGAATCGGACAGTCTTCGGGAGGGAGCCAGGAACGAGGGTGTGAGTGCGTTGCTTCTCGATGAGCGCTCGTGCTGCGTGGAGGTCTCGCATAAGTACGTTCAGGTGGCGGAGTTCAAAGAGCTCAAAGTGCCGCTGAACGTGTGCCAGCTTGTGTTGGGCCCCACGGAGAAGGCCAAGTACGAGAAGGCTGCGAATGGCACTGCGTTCCGCCTGATGCGCAAACCGTTGGAGCGCGCCTTGAAGGTGGCTCCCGCGAAGATGTCCCTGGGGAAGCATCCGGGGGCATCGAGGCGCCGCGGCGCAGCTGGCGGTGCAGCGGACAAGACGCCCGCGCACTTGAAGCACTTGAGCCGTTAGGGTCTAGGAGTCTCGGGAGCACGGCACAGGGGCCCAGGGTGGACACGAGATCTTTGGAAACATCGAGCGTCGAGGGGTCGAGGGTGATAGGGCGATAGAACAAGTTAGAACAATAATCCCCCGTGCGCCCCTGGAGCCGAGGACCGACAGCTGCCGTGGCGTGTTTCCTGAAACTCTGCATTCAATTCAAGTTTCGGGGCTTTCATGCGAAGGGTGTGCGGAGCGGAACGGTTAGTCCTTTCCGACTAACAATTCGCCCGAATATGTCGTGCTGCGGGTTTGCACCAGAATCGCGGCAGCTTTCCTCTTTCACTCTTCCACTCTTCCACTCTTCCACTCATCTACTCATCCAGTGGCTGAGTCATCCACTCCTCCATGTCGTATCCTGCTTCTCTCCTCCTCCTCTCCTCTGCCTCTCCTGTATCATCCTATCATCCTCATCATCCTCCTCGCCACTCCTCGCTCCTCCTCGCTGTCTCCTCTTCTCATAATCCTCTTCCGTTCTGTCTTCCTAGTAAGGCTTTCGGGCGGTAGGGCGGTAGGGCGGCATGCCCGCCTTCCGCCATCGGCCCATCGGCTCTGGCGGGCCCGCCGTCGGCGCTGTTGGCTGCGCACGGCGCACGCCGCTCGGGCCATGAGGCCATGAGCGAAGACCCTGGGGCACCAGGGGTTCGATCCACGCGAGAGGATTGCGGCTTCTTCCCTCGCCTCTCACATCATATCTCCTCCTTCCCTCCCCTCTCCAACTTCTCCCCACTTCTCTCTCTCTCTCTCTCTCTCTCTCTCTCTCTCTCTCTCTCTCTCTCTCTCTCTCTCTCTCTCTCTTTCTCTCTGTCTCTCCCTCCCCCCCTCTCTCGCGCCGCCCCCCTCCACCCCCCTTGCCCAGCCCAGGTCCCATCCCTCCATCCCTTTCCCCCTTCCCCCCCCCCCTCGCATTCTCGTCGAGGGGCAGGGGTTCGGAGGTTCAGCGGGCCAGAAGGCTCAGAGGTTCAGCTGGCGTCATTTGGGATCCTGGACCCTGTCATCCTGAAATCGTGATCGTGAACCCCCCAAGGCCCCAAGACTCCTGGGTTCATGGGCCCCAGGGCCCAGGGCGTCCGGGCATCCATGGATCCATGGCTATTGTCGTCTCATCGTCGTCGCCGCGTCGTGGTGGCCCAAGTTGTTTCTTTTACGACCCCGCGTCGACGCGTCGACCCATCGACATCTGCCGATTAGCCAGCAGCGTCATGCAGAAAACCACCCCTGACGGCTCGGACGGCAACTTCAACTTCGTCAATGGCTCCCGCGACATTCCGGACATTTGGCTCCAGATGACCTACGGCTTGTGCAATTTGGCAAAGCTGAGGCACTTATGAAGAACATAAAGAGGAGGAGCGGAGGGGGTGGAGGGAAGGATGAGAAAGAGGAGATGAGGATTGGGGGAGGATATGATGAGGAGGAGGAGGGGGATTGGGGGAGGAAATGAAGATGATGAGGAGGACGAGGGCATGCGGATATGATGAGATAGGGGCTGGGGGATGAGGAGGAGATGAGGAGGATGATGGATGATGGGATGAGGAGGAGGGCGATTGGAGGACGGGATGACGGGATGAAGAGGGAGGATGAGAGGATGAGGAGATGCTGAGGAGGAGAGGAGGATTTAGGATTGGGTGTCACGAGTATGATGTGAGGAGGACGCTGAAACGTACCCGCCGCAGGCGCTGGTGGAGCTTGCTGGGTCAACATCTCCGCCAAGTGGAAGAGCGGGGCCAACGGGCCAACGCCAATGAGAGAGAATGATGGGCCGGGGCCGCGTCGACGAGTCGCGGCGACGGAGAAGAGGACATAATGCGAGAAGGTGGATGGGTAGGAGAGGGGGAGAGGTAATTTGGAGGGGGGGGGGCTCGTTTTTCGTGGCTGGGTTTTGCATGGCGCCGCGACGCGTCGACTGTGTAGTTACTGGTGTTCTGCACTGTCTGCGCGCCTGTGTGCCTGTATGCCATCCAGTGTTGCTGCGTTGCTGTTTCCTGTCCGCGCGGGCAAGCTGCGCAGCTGGCTGCAAAATCATAAAACACTGCGACCTCCATGTCATCTTGTCATCTTGTCTTCTGTGCTTGGCTTGTCTGCGAAGGATTTGGTCGCGGTTATCAGATGTACGAGTGTCGTGAAGAGGACGCCGCCGGCGACGAGCGAGGAGGACTCGTGGGGATCGCGACGATGACACGGAGGGGTGGAGGAGCGGAGGAGGACGAGGAGAGGAGGAGGAGGAGCGGAGGAGGACGACGATGGCGACGATGGCGTGAGTCACCGACTCTCCGATAATGCATGCTGAAATCTTTCATCCAAATCGCACTTGTAGCGGTCCGATCGATCCACGCGCACGAAACAACAATAATGTCAAGCTCAACAAACGAGCAAGTAACATCAGAATATTGCGCAACAGAATGAGATACAATCACGCAAATACATTGTCGATCATCGTGGGAACCTGGACACGAGAAGACGCACGGATGGCATATGCCACAATGCATGAACATGCAATCACTGCACCTGACACCGAAAATACACAGCAACGAAAACAAACACAGCCTTCAGAGAAAAAAACAGTTGTCCAAAGTCACAATCGTTCTCCGTGAAAACTTGAAACCGAAACGCAAATTTGAATGACACGCGCTGTCTACTAACATGAAAATTCAGATCAAAGTATGCGGAAATCGCAATACCGAAATTGATTATAGTGTCGTCCAAGAGTTCGACGCAGTTGTTTTCACACGACAGAAGTCTGGACATTTCGGAGTAGTTAATAAGGATTTCAGCCATTGTGAAAGAAGCTCTGTGCTCTCCCCAGAGGTCCCAGAGGCCTCGTGAGGTAGGGCGCTTCTGCCTCATACGCCCTCTTGCGTAGCCGCAACTAGCTTCACCATTTGCCGAGGGAGTTGCTTTACCAGTGCAGCATTCCGTGACTTGTCTTCTTTACGTGTAGACAGCGGGACCGAAGTCTGACCTTGCACCAGCAAGAGTCCTAAGACATGCGCTCGAGAGCTGACGCTGCTTTTCTCGAAGCTCGCGCGGCTGATTGCGCCTCGCGGCCAGTGGCCTTATGTGTGGACAGCGCACTGGATTCACCCCCTGCACAAGCGGTCTCAGTTGCACAACCCGGACCACCACAGAGGAATTCATCCCACTGCACAGTTCTCCAAAGCAATGGAGAGATTTCTAGGCGAGAAGTTCATTCCCCGCGCTGTTTCCGAAGACTCTTTTGGCATGTTCTAATTCGCTCACGCCCGGTCGCGGTGATAGAAACGCATTGCCGTGGCTTGTCTCGCTGAGCATTCAGACTTTCGCTGGAGGCGGACGCGTCGGAATGCGCTGCTCAGACGTATCTGGTGCATTCGATCGTGTATGCACGGAGCGACTATTAAAGAAATTAGCAACGTCGCCTATTCCACGCAGTATATCCAATGTGACTCGGAGCTAGCTGGCGCCTCGTTCCGCGAATGTGGTGGTGGGCGGAGTCCATTCGGAAGTGATTCAAATGTTTGTTCTTGGCGCAGTCCGCTTCACAATCACTGTCTCAGCAGCATGTGCGACTAGTGCGGCCAGCCGGCCTGCGCGCCCAACACTCATTATCTCTTGCTTTCGTTTCTCTCGGTGTTCTTTCTTCTCCTCCCCCTCCTGCTCGCTGGGTCTAACTAAATTCTTCATTTTATCCCTCCATCCTCTCTCTGCTCGCCATTATTCCCTTCGTCCCTCTGCTTTTTCTTTTCCTCTATTTCTTTCTCTGCCTGCTAATCTCCTTCCGCTCCTCACTTTTTCTCCACCTCCACGTCCTCCTCCATGAATCCGCACCTTCGCGCGCAAGTATAAGACTGTCGCGCCCGGATTCCACGAGAAAGCTTTGCGAGTTCCCCGCGGCAACTGGGAGCCGGCGGTAAACCGTCAACCAGGTTACCGCCGGGAGCCTCGTAGAGCTCTTTTCCCGCGCGGCGCTGCGCGGAACACATAGAAGGAGCCCCCCCCAGCGCGAGCTAAAAAG